CAGGCCAGCAGGGGCAGCACCTGTAGATCCACCAGCTGCCCCGGCTCAGGACCAGCCTCCAGCTGTAGATGCTCCAGCAGCACCTCTGCAGGCACCAGCAGTGCCTATTGTGATTCCTGGCCTCCAGGAGGCTTTGGCTCAGATATTATCCGTTTGCACTAGCCTGGCTCAGGCTGTCTCAACCACTACTGCAGCAGCTACCTCACAGACCGGGGGAGGTCATCAGACCCCCGCTGCTCGCACACCAGAGCAGGTTGTTCAGGGATTGCAGACACCGGGAGCAGTCCCAGCTCAGCCAGTTGCACCAGTTGCCCCAGCTGCGCCAGTCACACCAGTTCAGGACTTTGTAGTCCCAATTATGCCAGACGATGAGCAGCGTCATCTTAAGAGGTTCAGTAGGCTCCAGCCTCCATTTTTCGGTGTTGCTCAGGGTGAGGATGCCCAGGGATTTCTGGACAAGTGTCAGCGTATGCTTCGGACAGCAGGGATTTTGGAGACCAGCGGGGTAGCATTCACCGCATTTCAGTTTACTGGGGCTGCCTTCACATGGTGGGAGTCGTATGAGGGGCGTAGGCCGGCGGGTGCAGCACCTTTGTCATGGCAGGAGTTCTCCACTATCTTTTTGGAGAAGTGGGTACCACAGTCTCAGAGAGAGGAGCTGCGCAGGCAGTTCGAGTGGCTTCGACAGGGAGACATGACTGTGACCCAGTATGAGGCGAGATTTTCTGAGTTGGCCCGTCATGCCTCGTGGATAGTCCCGACCGACAGAGAGAGGATCAAGAGGTTTGTAGATGGACTTAACTATCACCTTCGTGTTCTGATGACTCGAGAGAGAGTTCTGGGTATTTCCTTTGAGGATGCAGTTGATATTGCTCGCGATATTGAGATGGCTCGTCGTCAGGATAGAGAGGAGAGGGAGGCCAAGAGGCCGCGAGGTTCTGGTAGCTTCAGTGGTGCTCCGTCTGGGGGTCAGTTCCAGCAGAGCAGAGGTCGTTCATTTAGGCCTCCTCAGTCAGCTCGCTCTGAGTATCGTGGGTCATCTTCCGGCCGAGGTCATCAGGGTTATCAACAGAGCCAGCCATCTCTCAGCGCTCTTCCAGCTCAGGGTTCATCACGAGCTCCATCTGTTCAGGGTTCCTCCAGACCGAGTGCGTCAGCCAGTCACTCTGATGTGCGAGGTTCCCTTCAATCCCATTCTCCAGCACCCGGGAGCTGTTATGAGTGCGGAGAGGTCGGGCATATGTGGAGGCATTGTCCTCAGCGCCGTGGTAGTCAGTCTTAGCAGAGGGGTTAGCCCTCGTCTTCTGGCCCATCCTCTTCAGCACCCGCCCCGCCAGCTAGGGGTGAGAGTCAGGCAGCTAGGGGTCGCCCTAGAGGGGGAGGCCGATCGGGCGTTGGCCAGGAACGATTCTATGCTCTCCCAGACAGGAGAGACGCTATTGCATCAGATGCTGTTATCACAGGTACTATCTCAGTCTGCCACAGGGATGCCTCTGTCTTATTTGATCCCGGTTCTACCTATTCCTATGTGTCTTCATATTTTGCTCATCACCTGGGTACGACCCGTGGGTGTCTTGCTTTACCTGTGCATGTATCTACCCTGGTGGGTGATACT